TTGGTCCAGTTGTGAGGATTTTTGTTTTCTTTATATTGAGACGTAATCCATACTGCAGACTGTATTCTTTAACCTTCATCAGTAGGTGCCTTAAGTCATCCTCACTTTCAGCAAGCAAAGTTGTATCGTCTGCGTTATCAGGACCTGAGAATTAACCTAAAAATCAGCCCTGGTTGCCAAGGGCTACATGGACAACTGTACTGGTGGCTGACAACTAAAAAGGAAGACAGCAAAGAAGGAGACAAACAGCTATAGACTTTCAGCTGTCCAGAGAGTGCAGCCATTTTGAACGTTCACAAGCGATAGCCATTTTGTATATTTAAAGCAACAGCATTCTCACTCAGATCCCAGGGGCCTAAGAACAGGCTCTGTTTGCCAAGGACAGCACAGACATATGGGAGCCTGGTGACTGGAAAGGAGACAGGTGGTGAGTACATAAGTAATGCCAACTAGTGAATAGAAGAGCACAGTGTCCTGTTGACTCAGATACATCCAAAGAAAACAACTTAGAAATCTTCAAAGGATTGAGAGACAGGTCAAGGAAAACACTGACAAAATTAAGGAAAACACAGAAAAACCTTAGAACAATTTCAGAAGAAAATACAACAACAAAATGACAAAATAAATGAAAAATTAGAAATGACACAAATCTACAGATAGAAATCCAGAAGATTAATAGTACATTTTTAGAAATAGATAATACACTGAAAGGAGTAGAACTGAATCAATGGAAGACAGAATTAATGAGATTGAAGACAAGTACCTGACTACTTCTTTGGAAAGGGATCAATCAGAAAAAAGATCAAAACAAAATGAAGAAATCACACAGGATATCATCAAAAGGAATAAGCTACGTGTAATCGGAATTCCAGAAGAGAAAGAAAAAAAAATAACACCACTGAGAAAACTGTCCAAGATTTGTTGGAAAAGAACTTCCCTGATATGATGAAAGATGAAAATACATCCAATCAGGAAGTCTAAAAAACCCCAAACAGGACAGACCCCAAGAGAAAATCACCAAGACCCATCATCATCAAACTCATCAAAGCCAAAGACAAAGATAGAATCCTGAAAGCATCAAGAGAAAAACAAAAAGTTACCTACAAAGGGCAACCAATAAGACTAAGCTATGATGTCTCAGCAGAAACTATACAGAAAAGAAGGCAATGGGATGGAATACATAAAACCCTGAAAGAGAAAAATTTCCAACCAAGAATTATAAACCCAGCAAAACTGTCCCTCAAAAATGATGGTGAAATTAGGACATTTCCAGACAAGCAGAAATTAAGTCAATTCATTAAACCAGACCAACCCTACAAGAAATGCTAAAAGAAGTCTAGTCCTTTGGACAGAGAACCAACAATTGCAAACAACAACTGACCATTAACACACATGATGACATAACCCAGACACCAAACCAGTTATGGAAGTATCCAAAGTAAAAAAGCCTACAAGATTGTAAACAGGGAACTAGAGACATCAATTGGCAAATGAAGACCACTACAAACCAAAAAGAGGGAAAAAATTGTGTAGTTCCAGAATTTCTAAATGGTGAGGAAGCCAAGACAACTGCAAGCTAGAATGGACTGTTCTAAACTTGGGAAGAAAATTATAAATCACAGAGTAACCTCAAAGAAAAATGATAAACCTTCACATCACAATAAAAAAGAGGACCAGTACAAATATTTAGCAAATACGAAAACAAGAGCAACAAAAGAAGTGATAATATGATTCATAAACAAAACAAGCTCAGCACAGAAAATTATATGGAACAAAGAAATCAGCAACACCACCAAAAAACACATAACAAAATGATAGCAACAATTCATCAATAATTACACTGAAAGTCAATGGACTGAATGCACCACTAACAAGAGGAAGAGCTGCAGACTGGATAAGAAAACATAACACATCAATGTGCTATCTACAAGAGACACACCTTAGAGACAAAGACAAAAATAGATTAAAAATCAAAAATTGGAAGATATATCAAGCAAATGGCAACCATAAAAGAACAGGAGTGGTAATATTCATTTCTGATCAAATTGACTTTAAGACTAAAACCACCATACCAGAGCATAATACTCCAGGAAGATCTTTTTCACAAGTGAAGCTAAACTACTGTTTGGTTTAAGATGACTTATGGGGATATTTTTGGCTTAAGGTTTAAAGATTTTCTCAGGGCAATATTTTCATCTACCTTCCATGGCTCCAGAAAATCTGGATCCCATGAGAAATTCCGTTCTATATTTTCCCCATTTTGATCAAGATTCTTCTATGGAATCTTTGATCAAAATGTTCAGTATGGTAGCTGGCACCATCCAGTTCTGGTCTCATGGCAAAGGAGGCAGTTGTTCATGGAGGCAATCAGTCACACATTCCACATCCTACTCCTGTTCCTGACTGTTCTTCCTCTATTGCTCTTTGTGTACAGACACCAAGTGTGCCTTGGATGGCTGCTTGCAGCTTTTAAGACCCAGACACTATGCAACAAAGTAGGAGGTAGAACAGAAGAACTAAACATATTATTAGGCCAATTAACTGGGATGTTCCATAAAACCATGAGTTTTAACCTCCAAATCAAAGAACCAAATACCATGGAGGTGTTTGGTTGTAGCTACTTTGTGTGTGTGTGTGTGATTGTTGTAAATATATCACACTTTTGCTAATTCAACTTTTTACAGATGTGCAACTTACTGACAGCAATTACAATAAGCAGCTGTGCAACATGACCCTTAATTGATGTGATTTTTTCCATCACTCTTAACCTCTGTTGTTCCCCTTGCTCCTGCCCCTGGTAATCACTAACAAACTTCGGTTTCCATAAATTTGCATTTTCTTACTTTTTATATAAGTGAGGTCCTACAGTATTTGTCCTTTTGTGATTGGCTGAATTTGCTCAGCATAATGTGTCTTCAAGCTCCATTTACACTGGAGCGGGTATCAAGACTTCATTTCTCCTACTGGCTGAGCAGTACAGGCAGTTCACTGAGTGAGATCCGTTCCTAACTGTGTCTTTAAGAATCTGTAGGTAAGTTCGAACAGGTGAACAGTTATAAAATAGTTAGCCTTATTTTAGTGCAGGAAAAGGCTTTAAAAGCCTTGTTGTTGTTGTTAAGTGCCGTCGAGTCGTTTCCGACTCATAGCGACCCCATGCACAGCAGAATCAAACACTGCCCGATCCCGTGCCAGCCCCACAATCCCTGCTATACTCAAGCCCATCATCGCAGCCACCATATCAATCCATCTCGTTGAAGGCCTCCCCCTCTTTCGTCGACCCTCCACCCTACCAAGCATGACATCCTTCTCCAGGGAATGGTCCCT